TTATTTTATCCATCAATTCTCTGGCAACAAAAATATGTGCAAATCCAAGTGCTACCAGAAGCATTTTAAGCACCATAGGTCTGCCTCACTGGGATTTCTAGCAGCAGTTCTGCAAAAGTGGATGTAGGAATTATTCATTGTACATCCCTCTCCCATGTCTCAGGAAAAAAAAAAGAATTTACAACAGCAAGGAGATGGAAAGACTGAGAAACCCTGCTGGGGAAAAAGTGACAGAGACAAGAATGAGGTTTGGTTAACCAATGCCACAGAGAGTTTTGATGGCACTGCCACACAGAGACAGGACCTGATGCCAGCCTGCAGGAAAGGCAGAGGGAAGTGCATCTGCTCACATATTAAATGCAAATTTGCTTTGTTTTTCCACTTTTTTCCTCTGGCAGAGCATTTATAACAAATTGCACAACCCAGCTGACCTCCAACCTTGTGCTTCCCCTTATCAGTGCACCAAGGTGCCTGATATTAACCCAGAAACTCAAGAGCTGCTCTGCCTGCCTGCATAATTCATCTCCAGTTGCTAAAATATGACAGCAAAGATCTTCTCAGTTCATTAAACTTTAAAATAACCACTCACCTGTGTCCTGTCCTACAACCTTAATATATCATAACTTTCTTGTTACCAACAGATATAAGGCCAACATCCATTAGTATAAGATCAATTATTTTATAGCCCTTTGATATAAGGGAGTGGAAGCTTATTTATTAATAAAATTCTTATCTTTGAAGCAGAACAACAAATTTGGGAATCACAATGACCTGCATCCAGAAGTCAGACCAAAGTCTTTTATTCTGCATCCTGGACACAGCCTCCAAAAATAATGCCAGGTATTCACTTGGGCCCAGTTACAAAGGCAGTGGGACTCGGTGCCAAGTCCAGCCAGAGATCCTGGAGGCCCCAGCAGCTTCTGGGAGTGAGGAATGGCTCTATTTACAACACAAGTTCCTCAGTACCCCAGTTTCTATTTCTGACGTTGCTTTCTTTCACTCCAAGCACACGTAAATTCAAATATGAAAAATATTTTCCAGCTTCTCCTATTTCTTGGACGGCAGAGCCTGAGAGCTGCTCAGGATCTGCTGCCTCCCTCACAACCTAACAACACTCCTGCTGCTTACTCATGGCCTTAAGTATTCCTGCCCAGTCCACAGGTACCTTTAAATTTCAAAGCCCAGAAGATGAAAGGATTGAATCTTTCCTCGTTCCAAATCTGTATTTACTGACTTGAGTGTTTGAAGTCTGGAGCCTGCAAAATTACTGCCTGCTCCTCGGGAAGGAAATCTAGATGTGGAGAGGGAAAAAGGTGAGCTTCTTCTGACAAACCACTTCTTACAGTTGCCTCCTCTCCGAGCTGCATACTTGGCTTTGGAAAAGCTTTTTTAATCCCACACCTGGGAATTAGTTCTCTTCTGGAAAGATGTTGCTATTTATTTCCATTGCCTTCAGCTGCCTTTTCATTCCCTCCCTCCCTTCTCCTGCTGCTGCAAAATAGACTGAGGAAAAGTTGGAAAAGAATGATGTTCAGACCACCCAAACAGCAGCTGAGGGAGGAGATGACATTTAGCAGCACTGGAATGCTCATTTGTGCACTCAGACCCTAAAAACCTGCTCCTCCTGGGTCGTTTTTAATAGACTTGGCACGTGCCAAGTAACCTGCCAAAGTCTCCCAGCACTTATTCAGCACACAAATAATCACAATAATAAAAACACCACCGTGTGCCTGTTATTATCTTCGGGGAAGCAGCTGAAAGCCTCGTTCATAACAACAATATCGACTTCCCTCTTGATAAATATCTGGCCGAGTTCCCAACCTTCCCAGATTTCCCAGGCCTGATGATTCCTTCATCAGGCTCAGCACTGGCAGGCACAGCAATGCAGGCAGCTCCATCTTCCCATCCTCTGCTGCACCCAGCTCACTCTCAGGCTGCTTCAGAAGGACTCACTTAATGACAAATGGGTTTTTATTGACCGCCGGGGTCCTTTTCTCCTGCCAGATAATGACACAGAGACACTTGGATGTGGTGGTGCTTTCTGCATTTCAAAACAGAAAGTCAGCCACTTCACAAGAAATTGAGTTTTTAAATTTTTTTTTAACTTCCCCCTCTCTGTATCTCAGTGATACACAGTTTCTAGACTGAGTTGTCCCTCACCTCTGCCTTCTCCCCAGGCAAACCTGGTTAATCTAAGCCACAAGAGCTCCCATCAGACCCCAGATGTGACATTGTGGTGTGAGCACGCCTGGGACCAAAGTGAGATCCACCTGTGGCAATGCCAGTGAGCTGAGGGCTGCTGAGCTCACCGAGATACCACATTTAGACACGGTAAACCCAATAAAAATATGAAAACATATAAAACCAGCTCAAACCCAGGCAACCACAAGGAATGTTCTCCTTCCTCAGGTTAATGAGGAAAGGCCAAATCCAGGTTAGTTTCTATTTTACAGTGTGAAGAGCACTACGTGGAGAGAAGGGCACAGTGTCCCCAAACGCCTGCCAACACTTGTGGGAAAAAGGAGGAAGGGAATAAAGCCTGGGTTAAGTTGTGTGCTGAGCCTTCTTCCCTTGGTCAGCAGGAGGGATTTAAGGCCACCAAAAGCATATTTGCAGAAGAAAAAGAAAACATCCTGGCAGCATGCTGAGCCTCACCACTGACCATCGAGGTCTGGTGGCACTGACCTCGCTCCTGGGTGTGGGATGCTCTACACAGCCACATTTCTGCCCAGGGGACATTCACCTCTGCATTTTCAGTGATATCAGCACACACAGAGCTGCAGCAGCACGGGCTCTGCAGGCCTGGACATCCTCTGGCAGCTCTGATGGAAAGGGAAGATTCTTTAGTGCCAGCTGCAGCTCAGGAGCTCTGCCCGGGCTGGGGCAAAGGGGCACAGCAGGATGGGTGGCACAGGTCATGCTGCCACAGCACAGCTGGGCACGGCTGGGAAGGGCTGAAGTCTCTCAAGGCTCATTTTGCACAGGGAATCATCCCCCTCCTGCACACAGACCCAGAGCAACCTGCTCCTGCCTCTACTGCATCCTCTCAAACACTGCTGGTATTTGAGGAGATTCCTTGGGAATCTCTTAAAAAAAACCCCAGGACTGGGAGCAGACTGTAAGAGATGAAAATTGAAAATTACAGAAAGTTTTACTTTATTTTAATCAATATGCACACCATTGCAATTGACTAGCTGCTGAAATAGCGTGAAGTTTAAAAACAAGAGAAAGTGCTAAACATTATTTACATGGGTGTGTTACTATGAAAAAAAAAATGGCTAGAAATAACTCAATCTTTGGGTAGAAAAAGCACTCCTGATGATGAACTCAAAATAAAATTGAAAATTAATTACTTTAAGGAACCAAATATTAGGCAATGCTTTTCCAAAACATCGATTCAAGCACTTTACAGCTTACTCTCCATCCCTTTTTATTTCAGGTTCTCTACATATCAAAAAAAAAGCTTTGCTGGTAGCAATGTTTGCTCTCATCCAGGGATAAACATGTGCTACTGGTTGGCTTCTCCAGCGCTTTCTTTTTGTTCCAGAGGTGCAAGAGGGCAAAATGATTGTCTGGAATTACTCCTGATGGATCTACGACAGCAGAGCTCTCCCGGACAGGGACTCTGTGCAGCCCGTGCATTTTCTGTACCCCCCACCAGAGGCACGTATTGCTCCCAGCTCAAACACAGCCCCAGTTCTGCAAACTTTCAGCAGAAAACGCTGAGAAAACAACATTGGTTTCATGAATCAAGAATAAAAATCACAAGGCATTGTCCTACACTGGGCATCAGGAAGCTGTGGAGTGAAAAGTTTGATTGTCTCCCGTGTCAGCAAATGCCAGCAACGTGCCATGGAGCACAACACAGCTTTGACACCGAGGGGACAACCAGGGCTACAAAAAATTGATTGTGTTGACACCAAAGCTGTGAGCTTGATCTGCAGGCTGAACACACAGCCACTGTAACATCAGAATGTTTTTCTGCTGGAGAGATGATGGCTAAGTGTAGAAAAAGATGAAAGGAAGTCCAGAAATTATATAACTTATACCAAAAGAATTAATCCTCACTAAAACAGCGCTGACTTACTAAAAAGTGGCTACCACTTTAGAAATAAAGGCTTAATTCATGCTAATTTTTACACATTACCCCTTAATGGTGCTGAACGGCTTGGAAGGGATACACAACCTCGGCTTACGAGCTTTAATCCTGCCCGTATTAGGGGCTGCATTTTGTGACGATCATCCCCTGCTTATCCCAGCACGGCTTTGCCCCGCTTTGTGTCACCTCCTGCACCCACCGCACCCACCACACCGAACACTTCTCCGTTTCGTAACCCGGCAATGCCTTTTCCCACCGTTTGCAAATAATTCACATTACATTCGGTTTGTCTACGCTGACAACTAAAGAACGCCGAAGGAGAAACGCCGCGCATTGTTACTTATGGGCGGCCATCTCCATCCTCAAAAAAAATCCCAACAAAAACAAACACGAAACAGAGTTTAACACGCTGTTAACAGGCTTCTCCCTTTCCACAAGCCTCTTATTAATCAGAGCGCATCTGCTAAGCCGGGCCAAGGCAGGCAGCAGCCTGCTCTGCCCACCCCTTTGCTCCATCACATTCCTGCCCTTATTCCCGGGGGCATTTCCTGGGACAAAGCGCCGGGACGGGATCGCGCTCGAGTTATTTCTGCAAACTTTGCTGGAGCCGCATCGCCGGCCCCGGCTCTGTATCCATCCCTGTTTCTCGGGGTTTGCGCCGGTTTCCCGCAGTTCCGAGCCCGGCATCACCCCTTGGAGGTGGGGGTGGGAGATAAGCTTAAATCGGGTATAGGGTTTTGCACCCCCTTGCACTCGGCAGCCGCTGCCAAACCTCATTCCCGCTCGGGTCGAGCCCGTCTCCGGCTGCTCCCCGGTGCTTCCTCCCCACATGGGGAGCCGCGTCCGGAGCGGGCAGGAGGATGGCGGAGCGAACCCCCGCGCTTCCCCCGCGCATCCTCACCCTGCCCGCAGGCTCCGCGCTGGATGGCGATGATGGGCGGCTGCCGGAGGCTCTCCGCTCGGCGGCTGGCAGCCCGCAGCTGGCAGTGGCTGGCGTAGGTGACCGCATCGCTGCCGCACACGGGCTCGCTGCTGGTGCACTGGCATCGCCCCGCGGCCGCCCGCTTGCGCACGGTGGCCGAGGCGGGCACGGCTCCGGGGGGCAGCACGCACTGCAGCCCCTCTCCGCAGGGCGGCCCCGCTCCCCCGCACGCCTCGCCCTCCTCCGCCCCGCACACGCGGCAGCAGCCGCAGGCGTCGGGCACCGGCCCGCCGGGACAGCCCGCGGGCAGCGCCGGGCAGCGCGACCGATCGCAGCGCTCGGGGCAGGCGGGCAGAGCGGAGGGCAGAGCGGAGGGCAGCGCGGAGGGCAGCAGGGCCGCCAGCAGCAGCGTCCAGCCCCGCAGCGGCATCGCGGCGGCGGCTCCGGACCGAGCGCGGTGAGCGCGGCCGGGACCGGGCGGCCGCTTTAAGGGAGACGCGGCGGGGCGGGGCGGGACCGCGGGTACGGCCCCTCCACACCCCCCCTCAGCCCGGGCTGTGACATCGCCACACCGCCCCGCCGGGACGGGGACAGCCCCCTGGGACAGCGACAGCCCCCTGGGACAGCGACAGCCCCCCGGGCTGCGACATCGCCACACCGCCCCGCCGGGACGGCGACATCCCCCGGGTTAGCGACATCGCCCCCGGGACAGTGACACCCCCCTGGGACAGTGACATCGCCCCCGGGATAGCGACAGCCCCTCCGGGATAGCGACATCCCCCCCGGGATAGCGACATCCCCTCCGAGACGGTGACATTCCCCTGGGACAGCGACACCCCCCTGGGACAGTGACATGTCCCCGGGACAGTGACATCCCCCCGGGACAGCGACATCCCTCCGGACAGTGACATCCCCCCGGGCTGCAACATCCCTACACCGCCCCGCCGGGACGGCGACATCCCCCGGGTTAGCGACATCCCCTCCGGGACAGCGACAGCCCCCTGGGACAGTGACATGGCCCCCGGGATAGCGACAGCCCCCCGGGACAGCGACAGCCCCTTGGGACAGTGACATCGCCCCCGGGATAGTGACACCCCCCTGGGACAGTGACACCGCCCTGGGACAGTGACATCGCCCCCGGGATAGCGACAGCCCCCTGGGACAGTGACATCCCCCCGGGCTGCGACATCCCCACACCGCCCCGCCGGGACAGCGACATGCCCCGGGATAGCGACAGCCCCCTGGGACAGTGACATCGCCCCCAGGATAGCGACAGCCCCCGGGATAGCGACACTCCCCTGGGACAGTGACACCGCCCCGGGACAGTGACATCGCCCCCGGGATAGCGACATCCCCCCGGGACAGCAGATACAGAGTGAAAATTTAACAGGATATAAGTCCATTTAGATTTAAGTGAAATGTGCCACTTTACCCATGTTAAATCTACTATTTAGTCTGGTAACTGCAGCCCCAGCAAAACTACCCCAGCTAAAAAGAAAAAATGCAAATTTCCACACGAAAAGATAAGAGATAAGAAAGACGCCTCAGACCTTGAAACAGACAGGGCAGAGTGACCCCAGAATTGTTTCTGTACTTTCTAACAAAAAATGAGTATAACTAGCTGTAAGTGTAATGTAAAATCAGCAAAATTAATATGCATTAACCTATCGTGAAATTCTATGCATATAAAAAATAGTAAAGGTAATAAAAAAAGATCAAGAGTACTCAGAGGTACGCATGTCCATTGAAAAGCAGTAAGTCCCGACATGCACTGTAAAGAAACATACCCATTCCCTACAAATCTTTATTAGAATTGTAAGGTTTGATTTTTTCATCCACGTTTCACAGCGACACTCAGGGTTTCACCGCGAACTCAGCGGTGCAAGCACCGAAATTGCGCCCGGCGATTAAAATGGGGAGAAAAGGAGATAAGGCTCAGGAATTACGGGAAAGCAATCCAGAGTAAGCGCTGATAAAGTTTCCAGCTGATAAAGGGATGCGGGGAGCGCTGGTACCGTGGTGGAAGGAGTGTAGGATACATCCATTCTATGTAAATATATGCAAATATCAGGTAATTTCTATCCAGATCAATCCCCCGGGGATGGCTGTGAGGTTCCCGGCTCGGGAGGAGGATGGAAGGAAGGAAGGATGCTCAGAGCCGCAGGACGAGGTGGATACCAGCAATTAACAGAAGGTTAATCAACCGAAATAATAATAATAATAATAAAAAAAAGCCGTTTTCCAGCATCCCACAGGCAAGCTGATCTCATTTATCCGGCACTGGGCACCGGCCAGAACCCATGGGCAGCGGTCCCTGTGCCATCTGCTCCTCGGGCACATCCAAAATGCTCTGAAGGAGGCTGAATTACATCCAAGTGCCCTCCGAGGGACAGGGCAGCCCTGCCAAAGCTGGAAAGGAAGCAAAGCCAATTTTTTTTTTTTAATTACAAGCCGATTAAACTTTTGAACTGGCTCCCAATCTATAATTATTTAAGTGTACCTTTATCAGGCGCTGATAACCAAGCAGCTAATGAACTTTACAAGCCATTAGGCAAGAGGAAATGCTGTTAACTGTTAGATGAGCTGCGACCAAGGAGTTGAACTTGTCAGCAACCGCATTAATACAAAATAATTCAAAATATTTTCTCCTAGGAAAAGTTTAACAACGAGCCACTTGAGCAGGTAGGAGGAACGTCCCAAGCACCAGAATGCAAATTGTTCCACGGAACACCATAAAAACGTATCCAACTGCATGCAAAACTTAATAAATTGTTGGTTAGTTCCTGAAGCCTGGAAACCACTTATATTCCAGTGCTCCTAGTTAAAATTCCAGTGTGAACTCTTTACATCTGCAGTTTTCCAATGACCTCTACACTCTGCAAGAAAAGAGATTTCAGGAGAGTCATCTGATTTCAGAAGTGGCCCAAGCAGTAAAATGGAACAATTCACAAAAAATTGTCTTAATACTAAAACAATTTGTGTTAATAAATAAGAAAAACTCTAAAATAGTTACAAGTTAAAAATCTTTTAAGTGTATGTATATACACATACATATATATAACCCCTATATATATGGGGGATACATATATATCCATATAAATATATATGGATGGATATCATGGCAAAATGTTTCCAAGTAATTAATTATCCACTGCTTATCGACTACTTTTAATGGGCTTTGGGGTTTTATAAGCATGTGTGTTTTTGGTTTGGTTTGGGTTTTGCCCCTTTTTAAATAAAGACAAGCTTTTAAGGAATGGTGATGAGCTTCTAGCAAGAAACAAACCTCATCAAAAAAAAAAAAAAGTCCCAAACCTATTAAAATTAAAATTTAAAAACCCACAAAAATACCAAAAAAAAAAAAAAAAAAAAAAAACACCCCACCAAAAAAACACCAAAAAACGGGTTCAGGAAAGATCTCATTAACTCCTATTTGGAAGCACTGAAAAATAGAATTTTCTATTTCTGTTATTTTAAAAATTGCCTATCTGATCTGTGCAGAAGTGCCTTAAACCTGAGAGGTGCTGCATACCCAACAATTATTATTTCTCCTCCACCTGACACAGAACAGTTCCCCAAGCCAGCAGACATTAACCACCAGAAAGGCCAAAAATGTGGTCTGAAAAAAGCACTCTGGAGTCTCAGAGGTAAAATATCTCCTACTTTTCACAGGGAACTGGCTGATAGGAGGCTCCACCTAGAGATCACACGCTAGAAATTCTCCTAGAGGTATGGAAGTGTGGGCAGGGATGCTGTGCCAGCCTCGCCCTGCGACCTGGGCACACTCAGAAAGAGGGGAGCAAGGAAAGGATGAAAAAAGGGCACAGAGAAAAAAGGGGAAAGTCTGAGTCGAGAAGGGTCCCGGCCAGAAAATGGGATGAAGGAGCTTTGGGAAAGTTGGAATGCTGATAGTATGAGCGAACTCCAACATCTTGGACTTTGCAGAAAGCTTTCCCAACTTTATTCTGTTTGCTTAATTACTATAACAATTTTGCTTCATGCCTTAATGGTTTCCTCTCAGATTTTCGGGTGGGAAAAAGTGTAACATCCCTACTCCCACCTCCCAAAAACCCAGGACTTCTCCACTTTAACATAACAACAGAAATCTTATAAAAACTTAAAGAAAAAATCCAAACCTTTATAAAAACTCCACTCATTGCTACATAGAGAAAAAAAAAAAAAAAGCCACTGCTTTGAAAGGGAATGGCTTCAAACCAGGGAATTTAAAACTCCACGTTCTTTTCCTGATATAATCTAGCCCTGGTGCTTGACAAGCATTAAGTGCTGGCATCATTTACAAACGAAACGAACCATCAGGGTGTTTTTTGCGAAGGCTGTAAAACAACCCCGAAACTTTGGCATTTATACAGAACAAACCCACTGCCACCCCTCTGGAGGGGCAGAGGGACCAGTGGAATCTGGGTAATTGGGGCAAGTCTGGATTTCGGGAAAGCATCTTCTGATCCATCAGTGTAAAGACAGAAAAATCCATGGTTGTCGGAATCTGTGGTATTGATGATTCCGAGATTGTAGAAAGTCTCTGTCAGCCCCGCTGCCAAAGCAGAAGCCATAATTGGTCTGTGCTGTTTCAAGGTTGTTTATTCTGTTTATCTCTAACATGTTCTGCTGCCCTGCCGCAGCTCTGTCCTGCAGGGCAGCGTGTGGGGCTCTGCCCTCAGTGGGATGGTACAAACATTAAATACCACAAACTACCTGTGCTGGATTTACAATAACGTGCCAGTATCTGTCACCTACGTTGGACAGTGTGTCCCCAGCCTGAACCAACAGAAAAATGCCAACACCACAGTGAAACATGGAGGGCATGAAGAAGGAGAAAAAGGACAAGACACACCCAATTTCCTCCATCTTGTCCCCTTTGAACCCCTAATCTAGAATCCTAAAATTTTACTTTTGCACCCGTGCCACACTTAATTATTACTTATATCAAACACTCAGAGCTTGTAATTCATCCTGTAAGATTGAAAACTCTTTTCCATGGACAGAGATCACAGGCAGTGTCTCTGGGGGCTCTGTCCAGGGGGGTTCCTGACCCCTGCCAGGGTCCCAGACCTGCCAGAGGGATGCTCTGGATTCCCACACATGGTACATCTTCCCCCGGGATGTTTTTTTATCACAATCCCTTGAGATCAGAGGTGACTGAGGTGTGCCCGGCTGCCACCAGAACACAGAGTGGTTTAAATTCTTGCAAGATGCGTTCACCGTGCATGCCGATATGCAAAATTCCACTCGTTTGAAATGCAAATCCCTAATTACAGTGTCAAAAGCAACACTTGGAAGGGCAGCGTTCAGCAGCTACCAGCCCATTAACAATGCCTTCACAAATGAGTGCCAGTTTCTTTTCCTCCGTGGTTTTCAAGTGAAAAACCCAGGCAGACACAAGTCCCAGGGCAGGATTCAGGTTTCAGTTCTCCCAAGAGCTGCCTTCAGTATTTCACTAT